CTCTGTCTGAGGCTGGTGTTGTGTGAGGCGGACAGCTCAGCTATCTGCATCGCTGTGGTCACTTTCCATGTAGCATCAATTATGCTAATGCTAGCTGTCACGTTCTCTCGTCCTGGCCACACCTCCGCTCTCTAACCCCCCTTCCCCTACCCACACCCCCTCCCCTACCCACTTTGATGCATTTTTCAAATTTCGCCTTGGGGCGGAGTTATCTTTTCACAGGGGGGTAAGTTACACTTTAAAGATTGAAGTATAGCTTGACGTCTGTAATTTTGACAAAATTTGGAACAGATTTTTACGAAGAGCAAATCTAACCCACTAAATTGGTCATGTGTCTAGGACATAAGGGTGTCCAGGGATTCCAGGGGATTAATAGTCAAATTAATCGTTAACGGCTAAATACCACAATTAATCATGATTAATTTTTTTGCCAATATTGCCCAACCCTAGCAAAAATGTTGTTTTACTTTCTTCTACTTTAGTTTCACATTTACAACCGACTCTCATTGTGCTTTTTTATGTTTAACTGTGTTTTTTCTTTTGTGTGTTTTTGATCTTTGAGTTCAGCTCATAAAAACTGGGAGCAAAAACAAGTGTTGCATTTATATTTTTGTTCATAGTGTTTAAAGACGTAACAAATAATTACATCTTATTTGATTTTTTAACAGTAGCTCGGCATGTGCTTGCAAGTGCTTGTTAGTAAAATATTTCATGATCAAAACCAAACAGGACCATCTGCTCACCTTTGGCTGCTTTCACATTAAACCTGAGCCTCCTCAGAGCTTCCTCTGTGTCAAAGTCACACTTGACCAGTTCATACAGGGCCTGCAGGAAGCAAACATCTGGATGAGTCACGTCAGATGTGACAAACCATCATCCTACTGTAGACATGTCCGTCTAACCTGTTCGTTGTCTTTGATGTGCGACCCCTCTGGGATGGCGTCCACTCCTTTCTCCTCTCCGGTCCGCCTCGACGCCTCCGTCAGGAACTCCACCACTTTGTCCTCAGGAACACAGTCAGGGTTCCACAGCAGCTGGTCGTCGTTTTCATAAACTGAAGCACACAGGAACATCATCCTGGTGTCAACGAGATCCACTGCAGCTGATTTGACATTACCCACAGCTTACCTTTCTCGTTGTCTTTGTATTTACTCAACCCAGCAGGGGTCTCTGCCTGATACATGGAGCCCACCATGATCTCCTGTAGGACAACATCACAGTGTGAACAGGTTCTGACTCAAAACAACTCCTGGTTACACAACAATGACCATTCAGTTTATGGATGTGGCACAGCAGTTATAAAAGTTGTGGATGATGTAGCCTCTGCTCTGGACTGCAAGTGTTCGATTTAGTTAATCATTCCATTTTGATCTAAAGACTTGTGAACCTTGGGATTTCCAACCAGATTTTAATGTGGATTTCTAGCAGGTTAATATAGACTGCATATTTTCTGTTTCGTGTTTTTAATGTGGATTTCTAGCAGGTGAATATAGACTCTGAATGTTCTCTGTTTTGTGCTTTTAATGTGGATTTCTAGCAGGCAAATGCTGATTTCTAGCAGGCGAATGTTGATTTCTAGCAGGCGAATGTTGATTTCTTGTAGGCTCTGAATGTTGATTTCTTGTAGGCTCTGAATGTTGGGTTGATTGGTTGGTTGCTTGGTTGGGAATGTTGATTTCTTGTAGGCTCTGAATGTTGGGTTGATTGGTTGGTTGGGAATGTTGATTTCTTGTAGGCTCTGATGGTACATTCACACCAAACGCGTTTTGAGCATCAGGAGCATCTGGTTTACATGCAAAGTCAATGGTGGACATGCATCTAGGGGTGTCTAGAAGCCGAGCAGCGCGACTGGAGCATTTGGAGCAGCGCGGCACGAAGCAGTGCACGTGCGGCACGTCCCAAGCGTCTGCCGCATGAGTTGGAAAATCTGAACTTTTGCTGCTCGATGCGTCGCATCAACCAATCCGAGAGACTCATTTTTCCACGTGACAGTTTCCTGAATGTTGCCCACTTTAAATTTGTATGTATGTATATATGTATGTACAGAGTGGCACATAAGCAGTGCGCAGGTACACATGCACTGTCAAAAAAGGGAAAAAGCGCACCAGATGTAACGTCATAAAGCTCCCTTGCGTACCTAAGATTGTACCTGGTTGTCTGTCAAAACAACAGTTAGCAGGGCTCTACAGTGCGACCAGTTTGGTCGCAAATGTGACCTGATTTCTTTAAAAAWTTTTTAAAGAATCCAGCGGCACTGGTGTAAATGGATCATTGTTCAGTGCGCCACAGCGGGACCCTGATATAAGGATTAAACCGACACTGCCTTCAAGAAATCAGTCGAAGTCCAGACTCGTCTTGTCCAATCAGAGCAGAACAGGGTGGGACTTTCAGTGAGAGCAAGTTTGGTTGAAGCAGCGGGCCAGCTCGACTGGAGTTGCTGCAGCGATCAGTCCATACATCTCCTCCTGCACTTTGCTCCTGAACTACCAGAGACTTTGGTCTGTGAAACCTAACTTTATATTAAATACTGTATGTGTTCAGAATGTTGTTATTGAAAAGATCTGTCCAACTCAGTGTGAGTGACTAAACTGTCTCCTCCTGAGAGACTGCTGTGACAGGAGCGTGTCACTGCATGCGCAGGCTGAGTCTTTCTGTGAGATTCACTGAGTTCTTCTAATTAAACCACATTAACTAACAGAAGATTTGATTGCCCCATATTAAAGCAAAGATGACACCCTGTCAAAAACATTATCTATATTAAAAATAATAAAAACAACTTGCCATGTTCTCTAGGTGGGTTTTAAATGTTATGTTAATTTATCATAAAGATCCACAAATTTCCTTCAAAATTTTATCAATGAACAAGGTTCTTGATTTGCTAAACTTGTTTATATTTAGGACCATACTGTGACACAGCTGCTCTGGGATAAATGTAATTTATTAAATGATCAATATGAAGAATAAATAATTACATGAGCTGAAACCATCAAAATAGTATTATCTTTTTGAATAAAATAGTCTTTTAAAAAATAAATCAGTCTAACAAATAAAACATTTGAATGTTTTAAGTTATTTTGCTGCTTGGCCTGGAGAGTGTGGAAAGCTGGTTTAAACAAGGCTGAAGATGCAGAAGGTCAAACTACAGGAGTTGTCCATCTGAGGGACATGTTAGTCTAAAAGACATTTAACCATGAAATGTTCAGTTTGTGATGTTTATATGACATACACCCAGCCCCTCGGCCACTTAGGTAGTTTAAAAAATTTATGCAGAGTAAAAGAATAAAATAAAAACTTGTTGGACTGATTTGACATGATGTCCTGAGACGTTGCAGCTGATAGGAGTCATAAAACAGAACAGGGAGACGTTAGATGCCCTGACGCCCCTCTAGATAAATGTGTTAAATGAGTGAAGGAAAATGAGCACCAAGCAACAACCCTAGGTTCTCCCCCGAGAACCAGACCAAAAATTTTATGTGCAACCCTGTGTGTGTGTGTGTGTGTGTGTGTGTGTGTGTGTGTGTGTGTGTGTGTG